TCCTTGCTGATTTTGTTTTCTTAGTTCAGGACTCACCCATCCTTCACAGAGAAGGTAGCTTCCTTCAGCTCTCTCACTTTTCTGTGAGAATCCAGTTTCCTATCTTCCCAAGTGGGCTTTATACAGATGAAAAAGACAAAACCTAGAAAAACCATACTGGAATCCAGGTATGATGATTCATTCTTTTTTTTTTTTTTTTTTTAATTTATTTTATTTGTGTGTGTGTGTGTGTGTGTGTGTGGCCAGCTCAGCCCGCCTGGGGGCGGGACTGGCTGGCATGTGGTGCTGGGGGATTGAACTGCGGTCCATGTGCTTTGCTAAGCTTGTTCTAAGTAGGTGATTTAGACCACTGAGCCATCTCACCAGCCCAGATTCATTCTTATAATTCCAGGTACTCTGGAAACTGAGGCAAGGGAATCCCAAATTTGAGGCAACCCTAGGCAGCTTAGTGAGACTCTGTCTCAAAATAAAATTTAAAGTAAGGGGATGGTGACATAGCTCAGTTTAAGTCACTGGGTTCAATTCTCAGTACCACAAAAACAGAAATACAGAAGAATGCACTGGCTGGGGTAGACAGCAGACTAGATGCTGCAGGAGTAAAGGAATGATCATGACGGTAGGTAACTGCATGGATGAGGCAGAGCTGCACCTTGGTGCTGGGGGAGTGTGCATGTACAGGGAAGAGCTGCCTTTGATGGTGGAGGGCAGACAGGGATGAATGGGCGCTACCTGCTGATGGGGAAGACTGGATGGATGCGGTGGGGGGGGCTGCCTTCTGATGGTTGAGGGCTGCACAGGCATGGAGCGGATCCATTTCCTAAGGGACAGAGATGAAGAGAGGCTGTTCCTAGAAGGTGGAAAAAATGTGCTGCATAAAGAGGGCTGCCTTCTGCTGCTGGAGGAACGTGGGTAGATGAAGAATTACCATCTCTTTATGGTAGAAGACCATGCAGGATTGAAGAGATTCTTCCGCCTTGTGGTAGAGGACTGGAGGAATGAAGAATCTGCTTCATGATAGTGACAGACAGCTCTGGGTGGCAGAGAACTGAGCACATATGAAGCACATAGTACTGAGCACCTCCTCACCTCTGCCTTCTGTTGCAGGAGAGCTGTGCAGGGGTGAAGAGGTGCCAGCCACTCCCTGATGGTGGAGCACTCTGCAGGATAGAGGCCACTTTGTGTTGGTAGACAGCTATGTTTGTAATTTTTTCTTATGTAATTTAGTACAAGGTCTACAGGGTCTTACTACACAGATCAGACTTGTAGTGATTCTCCTGTTTGCAGCCTCCCAAGCTCTGGGGTTGTAGGTGTGTGCCACCATGTCAAGTCTCGATCACTATCTCAGCGTGCCCAGGAGGTTGGACCAGCACAGCACGCTGGAGATCGAACCCTAGTCCCTGCACTCTGCCTAAGCAGGCACTTTAGTCTGCTGAGCTGTCTGGCCGGCCCGAGATAGCTGTGTTTGAATGAGGAGAAGCCACGTCTTCTCCAGCGATAGAAGACTGAGAGAGGGATGAAGAGGAGCTGGCTACTGGTCCTGGAGGAATTAGGGATGGAGAGGGACCACTACCTAATGGTGGAGGATGGAGGCAGGGATGAAGAGGGGCAACTTGTTGATGGTGGAGAACAGTGAAGGTTTGGACAGGGCATAATTTAAGATGTTTTTTCTTGTGGAGGGAATGCCAGTGTGAAAGTGGGTCACTCTCAGATGCCTGTGTCGATATGGCACCCTATAATACTTTGTGGTGGTATTATGCCTGTTTATTTTTCATGGACATGTCTTGAAATTTATTTATTTTGTACCAGGAATTGAACTCAGGAACTTGTACTTACCAGGCAGGCACTCCGCCACTGAACTATCTCCCTAGCCATATCTTGAAATTTAAAACATCTGATACCTTTGAAATCAGGGTTGGGCTCATAGGGTAGCTGGAAAAGCTTCCCTACAGCAAATGTGCCTAGTGAAGTCCCTGAGGCAGTTTTCCTAGTTGCCCACATTACTGCTAAGTTTCTAGAAAACAGGCTGGCAGAAGGTTTAGGCACCAAAGTGCAAAGTGTCGTAGTTGCTCACCGAGGAGGTGGAGGCACGGTGGGCCTTTCTGCATGGCATGTGGTCTATCTGATGGCATGTGCTTTCTTCTCTGGCCCAGTGGGTCCTTGTAGCCTGGCTCCTTCTGTGGTGAGGCCCCTTCTGTATGTCTCCTGTAGCTGTGGTCTTGTGTAGACCCCCTTCATAGGGTTTGGTGGTTGTGGGCAGCCTTAATTAGCAGGTAGTGTTTGTTGTCAGGCTGCTCCTTACTTTGTATACTGAGGCAGTGGGCGTTTGTCACTAACACTGTAAGCATGGGGTCTTGAGTGGTGCCACTTGATCCTTGTCCATTGTTCTCTCAGTGTGGCATGGTCT